GTGACTTATCAAAATAAAATCCTATCCATAATGAAGCTACACTCTGCCACAGTGCCCAATTTTTATACTAATGTCGTTTATAATGAAATAGGTCATCTGCAACAGGAATCGTGAGTGTAAATACCCTTTGATCCTTAGGAAGAGACTCGCTGCTTGCGTGTAGTTATAAAAACTGGCACATTAAATAATATATGTGAACCCATAAGACCACCTTTTACTGAAGTTCTGGCCTCTAAATCAACGTATGTCGAGTTTTCTTGTCGAGTCGTGACGGGCTACAACTCTCAGTTCATTCTTTTAGAGCTAAGGGTAGAGGTATTTCAATAACATACAATCTGGTGCTTGCGTAATTTCTATGTGTGATTATGTAGTTATATTAGTGAGCACTAAGTGTAAGCCTCTGTTACTTCCCTTAACTTTCCATACCTTGCTCACGTGTTCGGTGTAGGAAAGCATGAGAGGTCTTATGGGTCTTGGTAATGTTTTCTATCATAATAATAAGCTCGTTATTTTGCGAAGCCGCCATCCCTTACATACTATTTGCCTGGAATAGTTTGGTATTTAAATTTTCCATTACTGATATAGAACTACCTATATTACTCATTCAAGTAGGCTGCTAGTGATTCCAAAATATTGTTATTTCATAAGCCTGTTTTAAGCCCTCTGACAAAAAATGCGTGACTGAAATCTGCGCAGATAACACTAAAACTTCATCATCCGTAGACTTAGAATGACTTTCTTTCATCTTTTATTGTTTTATTGGGCAAAAGAAACTTCCGTGGAAGGCATACTGTATCTCTTCAGATAAGCTGTCACACCGTATTGTGTTATTTATCCCACCTCTCTTATTTTCAAACCGTGGCTCATTGATCTCAGCACTCAACCTCCAACCGATGCCTTGTACGTTAAAATCCCACTCCGTCTAGTGATGTTTTATCAGCTATAATTAGTGTCATTGTGACTCATTATCAACAAAAAGGGGAATGGGGATGGTTAAAATTCGTAACACTGAATACAGCACTTGTAAGTTTAATTGGTTTATAGTCTGATAAACATCGTTTACATGATTTCATCCGAGCTAAATGCAATCAACGCTTACCATACTCCTGAATAAAGGTTTGCTGTCGAATTCCAGGTCATAGAGAGCATTTGTTTTCGTCTTATTGCAGGCTTTTGATATCAGTCTAGTAACCGAAACAGAATTCAATTTATGCCAAATGGAAAGGGCTCGCGAATGATTTATTTCTGTCACACGGATTCAAAGAACCACAGGAGAAAAGCTACAATTTGGAAGAAGAAGAAGCGGAAACACCACTCCAATTGAACATAGAGAAGACGGAGTTGATGAAGATAACCAACCAACGAACAGCAACAACAGACACCAATTATTATCAGCAGATGAATTTCGAAACGGGTAACTTTCTCCACTTATCTAGGCAGTTGGAACGGATGAAGATATCAAAACCAGAATTGGAAAGACAAGACAGAAGTTGATTACTCTTAAATCAGTTTGGGCATATTCTGCACTCAGCATAAAGAAAAAATTCGGATTTTCAACACCAATGTTAAGTTAGTCACTTCTTCTATATGGGTCAGAAGCTTGGCTAGCGGGTCACAGAAAGCATTTCCAACAGACAACTAGCAACAGGAAACTCTGGCTGGTGAAGATGCATCCACTCCATGTGGCTTATAATGCCTAATAAAACTATATTGTTCTTCGTTATTGCTATACGTTTTGCAAAATATCTCTGTTTACCGTCTCTATTTCGCGTTTCTTTTTACTTTCCTCTCTGGCTTTGTGTGCTGAGCGAAGTGTGGTGCATCGAACTGCTGCACATTGGTGCAAAGTGCTGTGTTGAAACTAGACAGCATCTTTTAAAATGTTGACTTCAATTTTGGTTCAGTTTAGGGAATTTGACCTTATCTCAGTATGTACACATTACGGTTCAACTAGACACACGAGTATTTCGATGTGTATCAATAATCAAAACTTAATTTCACTCTTATATCTAATAATGATTATATACTCATATATTTACGTTTCGTTTTGCAAATTCTTTTCTTTTCATTTTAGCAAACTGTTACAGTAAAGTACGCGAAGAAACTAACTTTTTACGTTCTCTTCTGAATGGTCAACTGCCAAGTGATCGAGAGATTCGATTTGTATATGATAGTGATAAATCATCTGTCGGTAAAGCAACAACTAACAATGTAGATGTTAATGTCTCTGGATCTAGACCTTCATGGTTCCCGTCTACTTTAAAACCAAGTAAACCTTCTTCATCAGATGATGGAAATTCATGAAAACCATTGTGTACATGAACAATCGGATTATTGACAAATCATTGTAGATATGTACTCCAAAAAATTTTATAACTTTCACCTTCTGTTTTTCGATACTTTCGAACGTATTATGCGACATGGTACGTAACAAATAAATCCAGCTGCCTGCAATTAGAGAAGACTTGATGAGTTGAGATAAAATGTCGGTGGTTTAGTGGTATTCTACCACTCTCCTTATGTGATCTGGGAACGATTCTCTGCCAACTGAGCACTTCTAAAACTTGCCTAGCTAGTGGCGAAAGCTCGATAAGAAAATTGAAAGTTTAGTGTGAGGTAGCAACCCGAACGCGGAAAAATAAGTAATCGCTATCGCTACTGGAACTTCAAACATTAGGGCCTTATGTTTCTGACTGCGTCGGTGGCACAGTGGTTAGGACTCTCGCCGACCATGCACTGGTCCCGGGTTCGAGCCCTCGCCGACGCACACCTGATATCTATGGTCGGCCTGCGAAATTTGGGCTACCGATATCCGCGCTGAAAATTCCATACTTGTACCAAAAATACGATGTGGAATCAAGCTGTAATCAAAAATAAAAAGTTTCTGACTGACTGATTTTAACGTAGAACTTTCCACCGATGTGTAGCAGTTCGAGTTACCACACTCTTCGTAGTACATAAAGGAAGAGAAGAGAGATAAACAGATATGAGGCAAAAGGAGTAGTGTTATGAAAGAACAATAGTTTCATTGGATACGACATCATAAGGAGTGAATGCATCTGCGCCAGCCATTAAGAACGATTTTGAGCCATATCGCCAATCGTTTCCAACCATTGGTTTTACCGTCCTGAGTACCCCAACCCGGAAGCCTACACCTTTTTACGTGACTATCTTAAACTAACTGTTGTGGATTTCATTGACTGATGAGGCCATGTTTTGGTTTGACCACCACTGGCTCTTTTCCACACTGACCCTATATCAGCTAACATTGACCGTCGAGGAAGGCGATGCCTAGGCACACGTAAGACATATCCTAACCATCTTAATCGGTGTAATTTAACAACTTCGTCAATTGATTTCCCCTCCTTACCTAGCACTCGACGCCTAACCTCAATATTGTTCACCTTATTATACCACTTAAAACGTGAGATAGAACGTAGACACCTATGATCATAGACAGCTGGTTAAGCTTTTCACGTCTTCCACTCTCAATGGTCATGTCTCACAGCCATAAAGGAGAACAGAGAGAACTACTGAGCAGTACAGTACACATGCCCTTTGTTCAACATCTGGATATCACGTCTACGCCAGAGATGGCGTAAGTTGTCGTATGCCAAACGAGACTTCTGTATCCATGCTTTTTTTTATTTTTGATTTACAGCTTGATTCCACACTGTATTTTTGGTACAAGTATGGAATTTTCAGCATGGATATCGGTAGCCCAAATTTTGCAGGCCGTCCATAGATATCAGGTGTGCGCCGGCGTGGGCTCGAACCCGGACCATGTGCATGGTCGGCGAGAGTCCTAACCGCTGTGCCACCGACGCACAGATTTTATTAGCGATCAGCCCGGTGTAGTTGATGAGACTTCCCAAATAAATGAATTGGCGGTCAACACGCCCTACCAATTTGCTCCGTATCCTTAAGCTAGGAGCCGATGTAGTCCAGTCGTGTAGTATCATGTTACACTTCACAAGGGGAGTGAATCGCATTCCAAACATTCGACAATTGCTGCTTCAGGTGTTGAGAAAATTCTATACTTTGACAGCGTCTTCACCCACGAGAGAGGACTATGCCATCTGGATATCCTAAGTCAGCGAGGTTATTCCCTGATAACTAGTCAATCCTTGAGTCGCTGAAGTCAGTTAGGGTTAAGTGCATTTGTACTTCTATGATGAAATAAACAGAGATAGGGGCAGCAGGCATTGAAGTCGCTGGGTGAAACAATTACCTCTGAGCTTTGGCAGTAAATCAGAAAGTTTCTGGTAACAGTCACCCTTTAGTTCATCCGAACGGCAGTCGGTTGAGGCGTAAGCGGAGACTATGAACAGACAGCAACGAGTTACACCGTCATTCCTTCTTCTAACGGACTGCACACATACGACCACCTACCGGTAACACTCAATGCTATCCCTACACCTGCGAGTCCTCGCGAACTAGCTGAGGAGTCTTCTGACACCCTTAAAATGAATTGTTCACATTCACCTAGTTGGCCGGGTGGGGTTAAGTGAGTAACCACGCTCATGTCTTGTATGCGTGTCTCCAAAACACAGCTTACGTCCATGGCTCAAGGTGCCAGAGTTGTAGCTAGTGATGCCTATTGTTCGATTTGGCAGGGGGCCCTGACGTTAAATGCTCTAATATGAAATTGGCTGCGTGGCTTTAGGAGGCTATCGGGAGTGTTTTTTCTGGTTCTCATTGCTATTCATGGTCACAGAATGAAGATGACTGACCACCCTGCAGAATAGTACTGACAGTAGTAAGGAAGCAAGATGATGACGGTGACGTGGATAAAGTGGAGGGAATTCGTGTGCTTTTGGAAATGCGTGGGCGATTGTCACTTCCCAGCTGCCCACACCGTGAATGTTCCATTCGGGACGCAGGGGGATGAAAAACAAAAAATGTCGCGACGCTCCTGTTTCTCACTTACGATACATGCCATTATACCTGATCCAACTTATTCTTACTTCATAAGCACGTAAATAATAACAATAGTCAAATTCCATTCATCATATTTATATTTACAATGAAAAAAGATCAACAGCATTTTGATAAGTTGCCTCAGCCAACTCTTCTTCACTTATTTCTCTTATACCCGCGACAACTTCTAGTACCTGAACTAGATTAGCAGGTTCATTACGTCCTTTTATCATACAATCTTCATCCCATGATGTATGTTTACGATAAGTTGGATGCGTCTTGACAAATGAATAACCTAGAGAACGAAATAAATAAGAAATGGGTAAAGCGTTAATTGTTTTTTGGGAGGGGGGGTTTACAGGATTCCATTATGAGCTGACACTGGTTAGAGAGCCATTAGAAAATCTGGGAGTACTGCACCACAGTTTCGTCCTAGTTCGGAACTCTTCATCAGTACGCACCCACCGCTAGGGTTCGAACCAGGGATCTTCCCGCCACAAGATAAGCCAGCTCGTAAACTATTAAACCCAATGGGACCCGATCCGATGGCCAGTACACGAATTCCGACTTTTGCGAATTCACGATACAGCGCGACTGGCACCAGCTAATGTCACCGCTGGCAAGTATTTGTCCTCACACCCGACCTGCTGTACCTCTACTGGTCATAACTTCACGCTAGAACCCCAGGTAATTAACTACCAACCTGAATAGGGCCAGTCGCTAGTCAGCATCAAGTGTTGGTTTGTAGGGGTTTGATTGGTTTCAGGATCTCATCATGACATGACGTCGGTTATTGGTCGCGCTATATCGTGAATAGGCAGAAGTTGGAATCCATGAACTGGCCATTGGATTGGTGGATTCCAGTGATTTAATGGTCTACGAGCTCGCCTTGTGACCAGAAGGTTCAAACCCCCCTGTGGTGGGGATGTGCAGCTAAAATGCCCTAAACTGGTAGGATAAAATAGCTGTCCAGTACTCCCTGGATGGTTTTCCAATAGTTCTCTAACCGATGTCAGCTTGACATCAATCCTGCATAACAAATCGAATCCCTGAAAATTAACACTCCAATGTTATTTTTGTTCCTTAAAATATTTTTTTACCTGCATGAGTTCGCCTAATATCACACCATGGAGCATCTGTTTCTAGGAGTAGCCGATTAAGGGGAATTTTCCGTACCACCTGTAAAGGAAAAACAAGAACAACAAATGCACATACAAGTTAAGAATAATAAATGAGCACTCCTACGTAAAATGTGCGGTAACTATGAGCTCATTTATGAAAAACAATAATAATAATAAGTATCATTTTTTGTTACAAGATGAAACAGTAATTGTTTTGAATAGTCACGAAAGAGAGCGCAAAATTTTAAGCGTAAAGATAAGTCGGCATCATGTCAAACCACAGATGAGTGGGGGCAACCCGATACATTTATACTAGTGTAACAACAGAAGACAAGGGCCAGGCAACAGATCGTTTTATTATAAAAATCAACACGTATTTATACATATTTCAGACAACATTATTATAGACAAGCGCAGTCATCTGATTGGTTGTTTAGGTAGACAAACGCAGGCTTCTGATTGGTTGTTTCGGGATTCCTTGACAAACAGAGTTCTCTATCTGCGAATCATATTTTGCCACGTTAACTTCGCTGTGATTGGTTGTTGACTCAGCCTTGTTCACGGCCCATATTAGTGACCTAGACCTTAACGTAGATTAGTGCCAACCAATCGGCTGGCAGCCTGCTCTCACCACACTCGTCCCCCCGTCAAATACGTGCGACTGAAGTCGGCTTGATCTATTTGGTGCAGGCGTCATCGTTGGCTTGTCTCGCTGTATCCATTTCTGGAGCTCGCTGACGTTCACGCGCCTCTCATTGTTCGCCATTGCGACTGTGTCTGCGTAACCCCATCTCGAAGTGACCATATATGGTCCTTCCCACTTTGGAAACTGTTTGCCTGACCCTGTCGAACATTCGTCCATACTTCGGCCCACACCTTCATATGCTGCTTTCGCCCGACCTCCCAGCAGCGTCTCAAGTAGCAGCTCCATCGCTGACAGATCTTGAACGCCACTCAACTGCGCAGAAGCCTTGAAGTCCTGCCCGAAGATCCATATGTCTCCATCAAAAACTGCAGGGTATAGGCTTTTCATTTGTCGGTAGGCAGCGACACCAAATGTAACAACAGAAGACAAGGGCCAGGCAACAGATCGTTTTATTATAAAAATCAACACGTATTTATACATATTTCAGACAACATTATTATAGACAAGCGCAGTCATCTGATTGGTTGTTTAGGTAGACAAACGCAGGCTTCTGATTGGTTGTTTCGGGATTCCTTGACAAACAGAGTTCTCTATCTGCGAATCATATTTTGCCACGTTAACTTCGCTGTGATTGGTTGTTGACTCAGCCTTGTTCACGGCCCATATTAGTGACCTAGACCTTAACGTAGATTAGTGCCAACCAATCGGCTGGCAGCCTGCTCTCACCACACTAGAAACCCCTTGGAGAATACTTCTTGAAAAGCTTCACTCCTTTGACTGATGTAGATAGAGAAAAGGTTGTTACTCCCCGGCTGCTCACATCGAGGAAGTCGATTTTTTCTTGGGGTGCCTAAAGCAGAAAGAGAATTAGTGTCGTGTGACCACAGAGACCAGGGTAAAGCTGCTTGAGACCGGCCGGTCACATACGGCTGGTTTGAACTGGTTTTTTAGGTTTAGTTCCATATTCGTAACTTACTACCATAGGGAAAGTTGGGGTGTACAGCTTTTGGCGTCAACCTTTTCCAAACCCTTCTCTCCAGAGTGGAGAGACAGCATAACTGGCATGCTGGTCATTTGAGGGAAACACCTGACTGCTGTTAAAGATCCCTGTTCCCCAGAGTTACGACTTTTCCCGCAGCATAGAAATCTTACACTATGCCGGTGTAACTACTTTTAGCCTGCTCCCTATCCTAACAATCTTCCTAGCATGGTTTGACCTGAAGGAACGCTAGTTCCAGCCAGTGCAGCTTGTTGGATGATTGCGATAAGCAAGCCCGACTACCACGTCCAAGCGGCAGTTATCGGTCTTTCCTATGAAGCGCAAACGTAATTTGATCAAATAATTAGCATTTAGAACAACGTTGATTTGCTCCAAAGACTAGTAGAAACAGAATACCAATTCATTCGGGATATATCAAACGAAAACAGACATCGAGGGAGGTCTATAAAACCCAACATAAGTGATGATGATAGTCAGAAACATGAACTGGCAATGGTAGTATCTTGAATGGCTGAAGGAAATAATCGGTAGGAAGCCATGGATCTACGTCTCGTGCTTGCTGGTGCTCATTAGTCAACAAAGCGTATCTGCAACCCTGAATGGAATCATTTCCCCTCTGAGATTCGAACCCACATCATCCAGTGCTGAAGGACTAGACGAATTACACTAGTAAATGACTAGTGTCCAATCAAAGACGTATTCACTTTTTGTTCTCTTTCGGGTCTTCAGAATTTCTATTATATTACTTTCCTTCACATGCCCATGTTTGTCTCTCATTGAATACTGTTTCAAAATGTGAGAACTCCGACTGATACATTTGTAGGCAAAAAATTTTTATATTGATTTTTCAGTTGGCATTTTTGTAGAAAACACATTCACTGGGGTACAGCAATATCAACTGATGACGTTTCGAGCACAAATTATTGTTCATAATCATATCAAGTCACTCACACAACTTTTTCGCTTCATTTATATACATGAGTAGAATTGATTAAACATTTGAATAAAATCGATATAAAATAAAGTACATTCATTTATCACTAAATGAATGTACTGGACACAATAGCGCACCTTAAGTGGACTATTAACACCTGCCTAAAGTATAACCAATCAATCTGTTACAACTGCTAACAAACAGACTTCATATTAGATGGTTGGAGGTGATCGGAAGGAAGCCTCGGATCTAGGTTTCGTGCTAGTCGGCACTCGTCAGCAAGGTATATCTGCAAACTTGAAGGAACTCATGTCCCTTCTGAAATTTAAACGTGCGTCACCCAATGCTGCAGTCAATCTTCCTGCCGATTGCTTCCAAACATCTAATATCATCAAGTCAATGTGTACCGCGATGGCAAGCTACATTGCAAACTTGACTGATAGAATTCAGTCTGCACCAATGAGAGGACTAGACAAATCACACTAGTTACCAGTGTTCAATCAAAATAAAGTACACTCAGAAATTATATTAGTGTTATCAATTAGATGGGAAATAAGATGTTTTTACAGTAAAAATAAGTAACTTTTTATAATGTGTATTGAATACATTTTAACGTTATTTATTATTCTCCGATTTGAGTCATTTCTGTTGCATGTATTATGTTGGGTGCAGACTAGATGAACCAGGATTCAGTAATCGATCTCTCTCTCTCTCTCTCTCTCACCTACCTATTCACTTTTTAGAATTTTGACTCGGTCCCATCCACCCTGTTGTGTGTTCATGTATTAATGCATGCAGTGCAATCGCTGAGTGTTTTTCTAAGTTACTTATCTTCGTGGGATTAGTCATTCTAACCTTAGCTAAATTCTTAAGTTCTGACAATCTAACTACCCCCCCCGACCTACTAGTTTAACCTATGTAGCTGACTCAACTCACAGTCATTGCAGGGTATTTTGTAAATTATATTATTTTGTTTAATTAGATCAACCGACTGGGTCCTTTAGCCTACAGAGATTGTCCTACTTGAGTGAGTTTGTAAGTTTGAATGCCACCCCAATTCCTGCTTTAATAAGAATCGTGCGTCCGGTCCTAGATGTCCCCTCCTTATATGGTATAACAGTGAATGCCTTATATTCTCTCTTATTCATGCTATCACTATTAGTTTTACCATTATTTTTATTTTGACCTTTTTGATATTCCTAATGAATTTTATAAGATAGTTATTTAACACCAACCGCCTCTTCTGTTAGTTTCATTTCATCGCAATAGCTCTCTAAGTACTACAACAAAAACCGTCCCTACAGGGCTGGCTCAAACCAACTGTGACAAACTTCACGGACTGATCCCTGGTTGGCTTGACCACCACTGCCACCAACCAGTAACTCTTTTTTTTCAGTCTAATCTTATACCAGCTAATAACATTGCTCATCAAGGGGAAGGTTGATGACTCAGCATGCACAACAATACATCGTGCTCCAACTAACTCAATCGATATGTAGCTCCACAAAAGCTCATCACAATTGATCTCCTTTCCTTACACCTAACCTCAATACTACTCACTATGCTAAACAAATTAATACACGAGATAGAACACAACACATTTGTGGTCAGCGACAAACAGGGTTTCTGTATCATCCCCCTTCAATGACTATGTCTCACAGAGAGAACGTTCTGCACAGTACACACATTTTTATAGCACCTCTCAGCCGATAGTGTTGAATGCTGCTTTCCAGAATCTGTCGAAGGGTCTGTCTGTCTGTCTGTTTTCGACATAGAACTTTGCACCGATGTGCGGCAATTCAAGTCGCCACACTCCCTTCTTGTAGCACACAGAGCAAGAGAAGAAAGTAAAAGAAATGCACAATAGAGACAGTAGACAGGGATATGAGACAAAAGGAATAGTAATAACGAAGAACAATATAGTTTCATTGGAAATCATAATTCACAAGGAGTGGATTCGTCTGTGCCAGCCATTGAGAACGATTTTGAGCCATATCACCAATTGTTTCCAGCCATTGGTTTTTACCGTCCCGAAGTCTACAATCACGTTGGGGCTGATGGTACTTCCCAAATAAGTGAGGCGGTCAACGTGCTCTACCACTTCACTTCCTATTTTTAAACTAGGCGTCGATGTAGTCCAGTCCTGTAACATCATCTTGCATTTGGCGGGAGCGAATCGCATGCCAAACATTCGTAGATTGCGGCTCAAGGTGTTTAGAAGACTCTGTATTTTGTCAGAGTCGTCGCCTAGGAGGACTATATCGTCTGCATATTCTAAGTCAACGAGATTATTCCCCGGTAGCAAGTCAATCCCTGATTCGCTGAAGTCACTTAGGGTTAAGTCCATAAGTACATCTATGATGAAGTTGAATAGAAAAGGGGATAATGGGCATCCTTGACGGACACCACTAGACGTCACCAGTTCAGATGACAACTCACCGTAAGCCCTCACCTGGCTGTATGAGTACGATTAGAGTGCCTTAATCAGTGAAATGTATTTTCTCGGAATTCCCTTTACAGCCAAGTATCTCCAGAGGACCTCTCGGTCGATAGAATCGAATGCCGCCTTTAGGTCGAGGAATGTAATGATTGTTGTGCGCCGGTAGGAATGCCTATGTTCTAGAATCTGTCGGAGGGTGAAGATATGATTGATACACGCTCTTCCCGATCTAAAGCCTGCCTGGTTCTCATGTTTGTGTCTCCCGAGCACCACTTAGTCTACGCAATATTATTGAGCCTAAGACTTTAGAAACTATATTATTCAAGCTAATCCCCTGTGATTATCACAGGAAGACTTGTCTGTCTTCTTGTATATGGGGATAATCAGTGACTTACACCAACCCGACAGGACTTCTTCTGACTCCCAGTTGCCGCCTAGTAGCTCAGTTAATGCAGACAGTAAACTGTCTTAATACTTAAAAAGTACGAATGTTGATTACAAGTTGCCAATTCGCATTTGACAAAAGACATTCTAATATGTTTGAAATAAAATAACAAAACCACACTAAAAGGAAAAATGAAGGCTAACAAACTAACCGAAAAAATATAAAAAACCAAATCAACATCTCACCTCTAAATTATCCTGATTCTTTAAACTGCAACCATTTATACCAATGTATAGTCCCATATCAGTAAAGTGTTTTACCATTTCGCCAGTTCCATCAAATGAATGAACAACACCGCGTAATGAGACATCCTTAAAGTATTTTTCTTTAGCCGATTTCAGCATCTCTAAAAAATCTTCATGTGCAGCACGACAGTGTAAAAACATTGGCAATTGAACATCACTAGCCAGTTGAAGTTGTATATCAAAATATTTTTTCTGAATATCTATTGGACAAAACTCCACCCTATAAAACTGATAAATAAGTATCTTATCGATCGATAAATAAATAGAAAAATAGAATGACTACCGATCATAATCTAAACCACATTCGCCGACAGCAACCACCTTCTTCTTGGTAGTGGTTAAAATAAGGCTTTTTAATTTTGTCAGGTAGTCATTTGGATTCTCGTTGAACTCTAAACATCTTGTAGGATGACAACCGACTGTACAGAAGAGATTTGCTTCATTTTGGCACAGAGAAATCGCCTCTAAACTGTCAGTAAGTGAACCTCCAGTAATAATGATTTTCTCTACACCACATTTTCTAGCTCGTGATAAAACATTCTGATAATCGTTTTGATGATGAACAACACCACGATAGATTCCTGTAAAGACTTTATCGGTTAGATTAGCACCAATGTCGACAAGTCGTCGTCTAGTTGACATAACTACTGATATTTATAAATGACTTGATGATGATGATAAAACGGTTTTACCTGAAACGAACGAAGATAAAACAATAAGTGAGCATTTATATAATGCGAAAATTATATTGTCATGCAGATGAGTTACCAGTCATCACTTTCTCATCATGCTTGATATTGAAAGTATATATATATATATATATATATATACATACATATATATATGTATATATATTCATTAACAGTTGCCTTCGCTCAATACTCAAGATCAGATGGCCAGAAAAGATCAGCAACAGGGATCTTTGGGAGCGAACCAACCAGGAACCGATTGTGAAACAGATAGGCAGGAAGAAATGGAGATGGATTGACCATACGCTGAGGAAACCATCAAGTGACATCACTAGACAAGCCCTCGAGTGGAACCCGAGAGGGAAGCGGCGAGTTGGTCGTAAGTGCAAGGGTGACTTGGAGGTCATGTGAAGATGAGATGAAAGCATGTGGGCAGACTTGGAGCGGGGTGAAAACGTTGGCAGAAAACAGAAGGCAATGAAGATGGCAGCTGGAGCCCTATATTCCTCTGGGAATTAAAAGATATAATAATAATATTTATGGTAGACAGGAAATAGTAATAATAATAATTAGAAAACATTTATTTCCCGATACGAATTTGAAACAACCAATAAAGGCTAATCAAGCAGGATTAAATGAATTCATCAAATTTCAGTAGAACTCGTCAGCTGAATACTCTACATACACGGATATATATACTTTTGAAATTACATTGGGAGATATAAGACTGATAAGTAAACAAACTACATTGAATTAATCATGCAGAAAGACACGTGCGAATGTTTTCCAGGTCATGTTCAAATAGATAAGGGGAGAGAGAGTATGAGAGATCAAAATTAAGATAAATTGCATTACGCTTCAATTACATCACTTAGATAAACAATTAGTCACTAGGGAATATAAGGAGAATTGCAAACAGACTAATATCAATAGTAATAGTTATAATAACAGTTTTAATAGTGTTGAAGTGAGTTAAGATAATCTTACTGATAAAGCATAGTTTTAGATGAATCAAGAATAATAATGATAATAATAATAATAATAATAATAATAGTAAGAAGAAGAGGTAGAATAATAACAAGTAGAGAATAAAACGTATTACCATGGTAGATTAAGAGTTACGACCATCTCCTTTTGTATACAGAGAGCTGGTTTATAAATTCGAATTGCACAAGCCTCTGCAATTGCAAGCATCTTCTTGTTTCTTTGTTTGCTGACAATGGTAAATGACTTGACTGCGTCGATATCATGTCCGTAATCTACAAGATGTTTTGTTATTGAGGATTTTGGCACTTTGAACTCAGCTGTTTTCAACCATTTTGGCAAATGCTCCATCATGCGAGTAGACAATCGCCTTTCCGTACGACCTATGTATTTGCTGCCACAAACACACTCAAATTGATATATGCAGTTTGAAGTGTCGAGGATTGGCGACTGGTCTTTCCCAGATTGTTGAAGCACTCGCTTGGTGGTGTTAAGGATAACAAGTTTTGCAGCATAATAAGTTCTCTTGATGGCTTTGTCGAGTCTTCGTTTCACTACTTCTTGTACGTCATCTCCTTTGAACGGTAAATTGATATAAACAGGTTTCTTTGGAACTGTTTGAATTGTTTTGCGGGGGTAGTTTCTTTGGAGTATTTATTAATGAACTTCTCAGGATATCCATTCTTAGATAAAATATCCTTCAGAGATTTTATTTCCTGTTCAATAGTACTGTCAGAACAAATTTTCCGTGCTCTATTGAACAGTGTTCTGACTAGGTTCTTTTTGTACTGGATTGGGACAAAGCTCTTGAAATGCATGTACTGTCCTGTCCATGAAGACTTTCTAAATATAGATCTTTCGATTGTGCCATCATTCATTTTGGCTAGAAAAACGTCTAGGAATTTCATAGTATCGTTTTCCTCGTGTTCTACTGTGAAATTGAGATTTGGATGGCATGAATTGAATTTTATCAACATGTCTTCCGCTTTTGATCTGCTTTCACAGACAATAAAAATGTCATCAACATATCTTAGGTATACATTTGTTTCTTGTATGTGCTGCTGCAAAGCACCGGTTTCTAGGCGTGACAAGAATAAGTCGGCGAAAAGTGGTCCCAAAGGGCTTCCCATTGCGACACCATCAACTTGACGGAACAGACGCCCGTTGAATTGGAATTGGACATTTTTAGTACATAAAAGTAGTAATTTCCTCAATTCCGATGTTGGAATGGGTATGTCTTCAGCTTCTTTACATATGAAGTCGATAGTCTCAACAACTGGCACATTTGTGAAAAGGGAGGTAACATCGAAAGAGACCAAATGCTTATCGGATACATTGAAATCTTTAATTTGATTGACAAATTGAAATGAATCAGAGACTATATGTGTTCCGAAACGTTTCAACAATGGCTGCAACAGTTCACATAACCACTGTGCTAGTCTGTGGTACGGCGAGTTTATCATAGAGAGTATGGGTCTTAACGGCGCTCCTGGTTTGTGTATTTTTACGCGTCCGTATAGTTTTGGGATTTGTGACCCAATCGGTTTGATATTTCTATATGTGTTTTCGTCTATGTATTTATTTTTGAAGAGTTGTCGTAGATGCTGCACAATTTTCCTTTCGGTTGATAACGTTTGGTCTTTTGCATGGTTATCCAATTTGAATTTAGATTCATCGGCGAGAATTTGATGCATTTTTTCGAGATAATCTATCTTGTTCATTAGCACTACACTTTGTCCTTTATCAGCTTGTAGGATAACAAGATTTTTGTCTTTTCGAAGCTTGTTTAAAGATCGCCAGTGTTCTTTGGTGATATGCGACTTTTGATTGGTCGGCATGACTCGAAATTGATGAGCGATATCAACCATCTTTGCTTTCAACCAGCTTTCGCTGTCACTGGACGTGGCATGTAGCCCCATAAGTTGATCATAAAGATTTTCGAATTGGCATTCGATATCGATTTGCTTTATCTTCTTCATGGGAACACAGAATTTGAATCCCAATGACAGAATTTCTGCTTGTTCTTTTGATAGGGAAACATCAGATAAATTATGAACATAATTAGATATATCCACTGGGAAAATTTCATTTGGCGGTTCCGGATAAAGTGACTTCTTCAGTTTCTTTTCTTCTGATTCTTTTGTCTTTTTTGATGTGGCATGCAGATATTTAGTGAATTTAATATAACATACGAAGTTTAAGTCATTTTGTACATTGATCAGTTTGCTTGACAATAGGCATAAATTACTGATTTCATCTGTTTCAGAAGACAAATGTGATTCAGCAAGACGGTAAAGATTCGCTCGTGTAGGTCTCAGATGATCTTTACGCAAGGATTTGTAAAATGTTCGAGGATAAATATTATTCTGGATACATTCCTTCAAAAAATCTCGTCGTGCAGAGTGTTTAGCAATCCTGCACTTCAATTTCACTAGATCATTTAGTGCATTGATAGTGCTTTTTGGGAGACGCTTCTTCAAGAATTGAAAACATTTATTTCCCGATACGAATTTAAAACAAGCAATAAAGGTTAATAAAGCAGGATTTAATGAATTCATCAAATTTCGGTAGAACTCGGAACTGAGGAAATTACTACTTTTATGTACTAAAAATGTCCAGTTCCAATTCAACGGGCGTCTGTTCCGTCAAGTTGATGGTGTCGCAATGGGAAGCCCTTTGGGACCACTTTTCGCCGACTTATTCTTGTCACGCCTAGAAACCGGTGCTTTGCAGCAACACATACAAGAAACAAATGTATACCTAAGATATGTTGATGACATTTTTGTCTGTGAAAGCAAATCAAAAGCGGAAGACATGTTGATAAAATTCAATTCATGCCATCCAAATCTCAATTTCACAGTAGAACACGATGAAAACGATACTATGAAATTCCTAGACGTTTTTCTAGCCAAAATGAATGATGGCACAATTGAAAGATCTATATTTAGAAAGTCTTCATGGACAGGACAGTACATGCATTTCAAGAGCTTTGTCCCAATCCAGTACAAAAAGAACCTAGTCAGAACACTGTTCAATAGAGCACGGAAAATTTGTTCTGACAGTACTATTGAACAGGAAATAAAATCTCTGAAGGATATTTTATCTAAGAATGGATATCCTGAGAAGTTCATTAATAAATACTCTAAAGAAACTACCCCCTGCAAAACAATTCAAACAGTTTCAAAGAAACCTGTCTATATCAATTTGCCGTTCAAAGGAGATGACGTACAAGAAGTAGTGAAACGAAGACTCGACAAAGCCATCAAGAGAACTTATTATGCTGCAAAACTTGTTATCCTTAACACCACCAAGCGAGTGCTTCAACAATCTGGGAAAGACCAGTCGCCAATCCTCGACACTTCAAACTGCATATATCAATTTGAGTGTGTTTGTGGCAGCAAATACATAGGTCGTACGGAAAGGCGATTGTCTACTCGCATGATGGAGCATTTGCCAAAATGGTTGAAAACAGCTGAGTTCAAAGTGTCAAAATCCTCAATAACAAAGCATCTTGTAGATTACGGACATGATATCGACGCAGTCAAGTCATTTACCACTGTCAGCAGACAAAGAAACAAGAAGATGCTTGCAATTGCAGAGGCTTGTGCAATTCGAATTTATAAACCAGCTCTCTGTATACAAAAGGAGATGGTCGTGACTCTTAATCTACCATGGTAATACGTTTTATTCTCTACTTGTTATTATTCTACCTCTTCTTCTTACTATTATTATTATTATTATTATTATTATCATTATTATTCTTGATTCATCTAAAACTATGCTTTATCAGTAAGATTATCTTAACTCACTTCAACACTATTAAAACCGTTATTATAACTATTACTATTGATATTAGTCTGTTTGCAATTCTCCTTATATTCCCTAGTGACTAATTGTTTATCTAAGTGATGTAATTGAAGCGTAATGCAATTTATCTTAATTTTGATCTCTCATACTCTCTCTCCCCTTATCTATTTGAACATGACCTGGAAAACATTCGCACGTGTCTTTCTGCATGATTAATTCAATGTAGTTTGTTTACTTATCAGTCTTATATCTCCCAATGTAATTTCAAAAGTATATATATCCGTGTATGTAGAGTATTCAGCTGACGAGTTCTACCGAAATAATATCTCAGTATTGGGTAGTGAGAGCTATGATATGTTTATACATGGTGAACAGTAAAACTATATCATACAAGAAGTTATGAAATGATATTTAAGAATGTTTATCGCCAAGATGATCAGTTAATTTGATTGAACAACACTAAACAATCATAAAATAAACACTTCAGGTTGTTTCTTTTATTGTCAGGTCTAATGCGGTGTTTGTAGTGGTAGTGTGAGTAATCCTGCATAATACGAAATTTTTTAAGATGGTGATAATGGCGTTCACAACCAAGGTTGTCAGTTAATATTGCTGAACAAAAAACAGCCACAAGGCTAATATTACATGAAGGTTAATGACGGGACAATTTTGTGATAATCATAGTGATAATATAGTCGGAACCGGTAGATACACAAAAGAAGGAATAGAGTAAAGTACAAAAAAAGTAAGCCAATGAAAATAATTTTAGGTAGCTAAGTATGTTTAGAAGGTTGTTCACTACAGAGTACAAATAAGATAGTATAAGGGGGAAATAAAAGGGCCAAAATTACGTTATTAACAAGAAAGCAGGTCATAGGTTTCGCGCTTAACATTGTCTCTGTCACTTAGAACCGGGGCCAAATATAGTATCGTTGAGTTCCTTTATTTGGTTGTACGAGCATATATTATTTTGTACGGATTTCTGGTTCTACCTGATGAGATGCAAGGAGAGAGTTGGGAATAGAGGGGGGTGTTAGGGGTCAGAGATTATGGTTTTAGACTATTTTTCGCGTGTATTTAGATGCCTTTTACTAATGTAGTGACGAGCTGACTGTTTTACACTACTAGTCCTACTATCTTCAACATCCTTCTCAGAATGGTATAGTCCTTTCTCAGTAGCCCAGGAAAGACTAAAAAAGTAACAAGATTCCATGCAA